ATTTACCACTATCGAAAATGATCTTAGTTATTAATTATTTTATTTGCAAGTTTATTGCTTGCCTCTGTGAAGGCAAGAATTTTATTAGCCAAGGCTTTATCTCCAGGGCTTAGGAATTGTGCCTTGCACAGAGTAAGTGATCCATATAGCTTTTTTAATGGAAAAGATAATAAATGAATGCAGTTCTTTAGTTCTTCACCATGATGATTGTGCCTTTTCCCTTATATTCATTGCCTCTGGGCTGGAATCTGCTCCAACTGGCACCAACATCCAATCCCATACAGTTTAGGTTTGTGGCTCCACAGGCAATCCAATTCTGCCTCCTTTATATAATCTGAGAAGTCCTTTGGAACACTGAACCACTGATGTTGCTTTTTTGTCTTCTAGAACTTTAATGGATTAAAAAATATATTTTCTGTTATATATAGAAATTTGTGGTAATAGAGGATATAGGGAGTTTTATTTTGGAATCTCCATAGTAGTGTTTCTGACTTCCAAAGTATGATTTTAGATGGTACACAGATTTGATATTAAATAACATTTATCCAATGTTGTTTATTAATATTATCCCAGTGCTTCTATTTGTTGTTTATAAATCATTTTTAAAACATAGAAATATTTCAAATAAAAAGAAAAATACAGAGAACAATATAATAAATACCAATTACTAATAATTCAGATTTAACAATTCCAAACATTTTGCCATATTGGCTTGGTCTTATTATATTTAAAATGCCATTGTTTAAACCTTTTCTCTTTCTTCCGTTCCTTTCTCTCATCTCATTATCCGTTAGTTGATCTGCACCCTTTCTATCTGTGTCTAAGGGTTTTATAGTTTTGTTGTTACATGTTACATCAATTTGGTTCCAACTCAGAGACTCTGTATAGGGTTTCCAAGGATCAGATGGTGGGTTTGAACCTCTGACCTTGCAGTTAGCAGTCCAGTGATTATCCCACAGCATCACATCACTACATATTTATATAAACGGGAATCTTGGTGTGGTGCATTAGGATAAGCAATGGACTGCTAATCACAAGGTCAGCCGTTCAAACCCACCAATCCTATAAAGGGTTGCTATGGGTAGGAACGGACTCAATGGCACTAAACAACAACAACAATAACAAGCAGCATGTGGAGTCCTGGTGTGGCTCTGTATGATAAATACTGGACTGTTAACCACACAGTTGGCGGTTCAAACCCACCTGTCGCTATAAACGATTGCTATGAGTCAGAACTGACTCTATGGCACTCAGCAACAACAACAAATGACATGTAGTATTGTTCTTCGGGCATTAAAAATTTGTTGTTGTTAGATGCTATCAAGTAAGTTCAAATTCATAGTGACCCTATGGACAACAGAATGAAACACTGCCCACTCCTGCATGGACATCCTCATAATTTTTGTTATGCTTGAGCCCTTTGCTGCTACCACAATGCCAATCCATCTCATTTGGGGTCCAAACCCACTACCACTGAGTGAATTCCAATTCATAGTAACCCTATGTAGAGTCTCCAAGGCTGTAATTCTTTAAGTAGACATCCTCATCTTTCTCCCTCAAAGAGGCTGGTGGGCTTGAACTGTCTACCTTGAGGTTAGCAGTCTACTGCTTATTCTATTAATGATCTCAATCCTTTAGATTAAACTAAAGAGTAAAATCTCATCATGTAAATTCAAATCTTGAATGCCTTTTCTGGCATTTGCTAATCTCTCTTTCAACAAAGTAAAAGCAAGCCTTCAGGCTAAAAGCCCCAAGCAGGCAATAATAGCTATCTAGAATTAAATAATATTGCTTTATTTTCAATTATATTTATTTTAATGGTACCCTTCTATGTTTTTTTTTGAAAGCTTTCCATTTACAGTAGTGATTTATGCTTCCTTTAAAACTAAATGTAAGAAAAAAAGAAGTGTTGATTTTAAGAAAAATGTTACATAAATAATAATAGTACAAAAACAAAAAAAAAACCCCACTTTTATTGAGTCTATCTGACTCATAGCAACCCTATATGGGGTTTCTGAGACTGCAAAAATTTTAAGGGAACACACTTTGCAACTGGTAAATTGGAACCACTGTTAGCAGCCCATCGATGATCCCACAAAGCCACCAGAGCTCCTAAAACTAAAACCCACTGTTAGTGAGTTAACTCCTACTCATAGTGATAGGTTTCCCAGACTGTAACTCTTTACAGAAGCAAACAATCTAACCTTTGTCTTCCATAGAGGTTGGGTTTGACCCAACCTTGCAGTTAGCAGCCCAATATCTAACCCACAGTGCCCCCAGAGCTCCTAGGTTGTGGTTCATACACTGGTTAAAAAAAAAAAAAAAAAAATTATGAAAACTGTACTGGGATGACTGAAATTTGATTACACACTTGACCTGGAAGGTAAAGTTCATCTGGGCATACATGATATTGAGTGATCTGACGTCAGCTTTCCTCTCCAGCCCTAATAGTCACCATCCTTACTTGACTTCCAACAGCAGAAACAGCTAGCATTTCCCCCTTCCCATCTTCCCTTAGCCTAGTGGTTGCAAAGCGGGCTGCTAACCTCAGGGTCAGCAGTTCAAAACTACCTGCTGTTCCTTGGGAGAAAGATGACGCTTTCTGTTCCGTAAAGATTTACAGTCTCAGAAACCCTGTACAGGGTCACTATGAGTCAGAACGGACTCCATGGCACATAACAGCAACATCTTCCCTTACCAGCTGGAGGTGCCTTTGCTCTTATAACCTTTCCTTTTATGGTATTTCCTGTAGGATGCACAAAGCTCTCAAGTCCTTCTTTCAGGTTTCTAAGAAGCCATTCTACAACTTCTGTGAGTCCTCATTACTGAAGTTTCTAACGTAATTCTAAATCCAAAGGTTGAATTTAGTGCCAGTATTGTGGCACCCTCATGGCCTGAACAGCTTACTAACTCCAAAAGAAGTGATCTGTTTGTGATATTTCAAATACAGTCTGGAGTATTAAACCAAGACTCACCATAACAAGTAAATGTTTGTATCATTATTTTATGCTTGGAGTTTTAAAAATAGTTGTATATAAATCTGGTCTTAAATTAAGGATTTTCTTTCAACACTGAGACAACACATTAACCTGTTATTTAGGTAAAGTTTGTTTTTGTTTCTTTAAAAGGAAACATGTTATTTGCCGTCAGTTGAGTTTAACTCACAGCTACCCTGTATAGCTTTTCTGAGGGGAAACTAGTGGGTTTGAACTGCTGACCTTGTGGTTCCAAGTCCAGTGCTGATCCTTCAGTGCCACACCAAGAGACATTGCTATTGTTGGTGTTGTTAAGTACCATCGAGTCGGTTCTGACCCATAGCAACCCTGTATACGGGTTCCAAGGAGCAGTGGGTAAGCTTGAACCATCGACCTTGTGGTTCAAAACAACTTTGGTCACAGCGCCACACCAAGGTGGAAATAAGGTCAATGGTAGGAAAGATAATTCTTTGCATCATTTCAACATTACTTGAGGTTTACTGTCAGTTTCTATCCAAGATAGATGATTTCGTTAGAAAACAAGAGGTAAAAACACACATTTTGGGTATATCACCGTTAAAATATTTAACACAGGGTTAAAGGCAAAAGATTCCAAACAGCTGTGGCCATTGAGATGCTGGGGCAATTTGCAAGTTGCATGGTACAAAATTTACAATGCATATGGATACGGTATTAGTAACAAAAAACGGTACAGTCCATTTTGAACTTGGTTTAAAAACTCTCCAATGTCTGCAGTTAGGATGTCCTAACTGCATTCGCTTCCATTCATTAATTTGAAAGGTTTGTTCCGAAAAGGGTGTTCACAGTACACAATTAAAACACCCTCCGTATACTTGACCAGAAAATGTTTTCAAAGCTACCGCTGTATTTGGAGAATAGTGTAGTTTTAGGGTTTTGTTCCGATGTATCTAATTTCGTGTCGCCAAGGCCAGGAAGGGCTGCGAGGAGAATGTGGGGGAAGTGACTTCACACTCTTGATTACAGAATGTCATGTTTACTACTGTAAATATTCAGTCTGCAAAGGAGAAAAGAGGTGAAGTGAAATTGCTCTCACGCTTCCATCTTGCAGGTACATTTTATCCCCTAGTCAAACTTTCTCCATCAATCCTGGCAGGTCAGCCACAGGAATGCTGCCAGAAAGGGAAATGTGCAATTGTGGGGCAGTCTACGCTGCCTAAACCAGAGTTAGCTTTGCACGGTTACCTGAAACATTCAAGTTATTGCACCGAGAGAACAAGCTTGTCGTTTCAATTCGGTCGTTTCCGTGTGGAATTGCGGCACGGGCAGGTCCTGGGTGTGGCGATGCCAAAAGAGAGCTCCCATCTTCCAGTTTTCCCGCTTCTGGAAAAGCTTTCTAAACCCTTAAGTGGCGAGTGACTGACACAGGGGAACGGCCATCTGGGATCCCAGTGGCCAAAGACAGACGACCCTGCAGCAGTTGCAAACTGCCAAATCTAGGGGCTGGGTACGCTATGCTAGCGCTGCGCTCCCCCACTCGCTCGACGCCTGGAGGCGGATCCCCTTTCACACACACACAAGTCCTTATATGCACCGGTTGCACCATTCCGCGTTACTCCAGCCTTAGGAATAGGGAAGACGGGCAGTCACCCTATTTCCCTTTGGCTCATCCATCGTCAGATCATTTGAACCCCTCCGAGAAACCCTAAGATGCGACTGAACAGGCCATTTTGCTGCAGCGCACTAAGTGGACACATAAAATAAAGCCGCCTTGTTCCTACAGCAGGCAAGTCAGGATTCAGGAACAGCCCTCGGATCTAGCCGGATTAGCCTGCAAGGCCGGGGCGGAAAGGGTGCTTGCCCTTCCCCCATCCACACTGGTGCAGAGGGACCCGGTCAGGAAGCGCGGCCTCAGTTCACTGGGAGACCACGCCTCCTCCTCATTTTTCCCCTCCCCCTTTACTCCTCCCAGGAAGCGGTGATAGACAGTTATGTGTGGTTCTCCACCCCCACTCCCCCAGCTGAGTGGAGGAGTTGATGTGTCTCATTATAACAGCCAATGCAGCCGCCATCCACGCACAAGCAAAGAAGCATGTCCCATTTAAATACACCCACGCAGCCCCAGCGCCCTTAGCCGATCAGGGCGCTCAGCCCACACGCACCGCGGCTCAGGGATAGGAATATACGCGCAGGTTCAGCTCCCAGACCCGGTGGACAGCGGTGCGGAGGATCGGGATACGGCGCTGAGGGGCTGGGGTGGGCGGGGGAGGCTGGGCCCGGGGCCATTGGCTCGACCGACACCCGTATGAAGACACAAGTGAAATAGACCAAGGTGGAATTTCCAAAGGAGAAGCTTAGGGGTGGTTTTGGGCCATTTCTCCAGCGAAGAAGTAGACATGGCGAGCGACTCGCCGGCTCGCAGCCTGGATGAAATAGATCTCTCGGCTCTGAGGGTGAGTAGAACATGTTTCTGATTTCTTCCCGGTGGTTTAGGTCAGGGTGAATGGGCTCGAGGTGGTGAGCAGAAGCCGGAAAATGCACGGGAGGGAACCTGGATTCTGGTTTATATGCAGGGTTTGCTAAGGTGCTCTTGCTGAGCCCCATGGCAGGGTCTGTGCGGTACGTGTCCTCCTTTGGCTGTGGCCGAGGTTCCCCCGAGAGCGAGTGGAGCTTATGCCAATTTATTGTAGACGGGTGTAATATCATTAAAATGAAAGACTCATCAGGCTCTGTGTGTGTGTGTGTGTGTGTGTGTGTGTGTGTGTGTATGCGCGCAACCTGGGCATTCGTCTTGTGCCGGGACACGATATCTCGCCACCCTTTACTGCAAAAAGATTAATAACAACAGTATGGATAAAGACACTAGCCCCTCACGTTTTTCAGCTACCTGCAAGATGACATTGTGAGCCTGACGAAGCCAACCCTGCCACTCCAAGGGGCCAGTTATTGCTGTGCTTGTCTTGTAGATGGCAACTACCTCCTCTTCCCTGCTTTCAGCTTTCCGCGACCCGGGTCCCTCTCCGCGCTACTTTAAATGCCAGTCTGTTGCTCACCTTTATTTATGATTTTAACTCTGTTCTGCCGGCGCTTTCTGACTTTGTGGTTGTGACATTTCAGTTTTGTGGCTGAACTTAAGCAGGTGAAAGAGATGTGTTTTCTGCTTGTTTCCAATCACACCAGAACTCCCAGGAGTGTGTGTGTGTGTGTGTGTGTGTGTGTGTTGCCTGTGTCTATGGCCAGTTCTTTGTGGAGCACCTCCTTCCCCTAGCCCCACTGGTTTGCACTTACCTTCACGTGAATTGCCTCAGACGCCGTTTCATTGTATTGACTAAGACATCACTGGTGTAGAATCCATTTTGCTGTTGTTTTGTGATCAGAATCCCAGGAATCTCAGGGTAGCCTTGATGCCTCTCTCCCCCCAGCCCCCAATCTCAACACACTCTTTAAGGGAAGAGGGCAGAGCTTTCTTGCCATTTTAATTAGACGCTGCCTGCCGGGAAAGGGTGAGGGGCAGGGGTGGCGGCAGCATGGGGGTCTGAGGGGGAAGCATTGGGCACCAATTTAAGGACTTTGAACCTTCTATCCATGAAGAATTGAAACTACATTTGTCTGATATATGGAGGATTGGTGAGGTTGAATTGATGGTGACTCTCAATGCTCACACACGCAGGATTGAAGTTCACACGCCCTCCTGAGGAATACATTGTTTGATTGAAGCTAAATCTTGGGGGGCATTTACCTGAATCTTTTTAGTACTCTTCCTGACATTACCTCTTTTCTCTATGGAGACTTTAAAGAGCAATTGTGATTATCAAATCGGTACTTTTTCTTTACCCTACTTGAATCCTCTCTTTCCCTCTTTTTTCGACTCCCCCCACCCCCAACTTTGGTTCTAGAGATGAGGAATGAACAAGGCAGTCCATGAGCTGAGAAGGAACAGAGGTGCTGTTTCAAACTGCCTGTTCTGATAGTTGGGCACTAAAAGCTCATTCATATGTTCTTACAGGAAGCTGCCCATTTCCCTGGCTCTGACATGCCACATTCAGAACCCTCTGCCCCCTGGGCAACTAAAGATGGGGGCTGAGGGTGGTTGACTAGCCTTTGGCTGCCGGTTTGTCGAACTCTGTGTGTTCATTTGCTCTAATTTATACACTGGGAGTAGCTCCCTGTGGGTTAATCAGGTGAATGTAAGGCCCAGACTTCAAGGTGTAGGAAATTGTAAATGGAGAAGGGGACTGGACAATGGTTGATTTCCTAAGGTGGAATCTCGACATGCACTGGGTTGTGATTTTTAAGTTAGGCTCCGACCTGCCACTCATGAGCTTTTTTTTTTCTGGGGAAGGGTTTATGAAAAATAGAGAACAGAGCTAACAGAGAGGCATAAGCAACCAGGGGGACTGAGCCGGCTGGCCTGGAAAATGCTTCACATTGGTAAACCTGTGCTTGTGAAATCTGCATTTTGAAAAGAGATCATTGTACCATTCAATGCAACTGCTCTTTGTGGCCTGGCCTGCCAGTTTAGTGTTCTGCCTGTTTTCTGTCAGTTCTGAGGTGTGGACAGAGGGAGGGACTACAGCATGCCTTGGAAACTGGATCGCTACTAGCTGAAGGACTTGAATGTAGATGTGGAAACAGCCACCGATTTTGTGGTGGCTGGTGTGTACAAGTCTGGAATGGATTCTAAGGCCGTATAGGTAATTTCCATAAACCAGAGGGCATACCATCTCTGTCTTTCCAAATTAAGAGAGGTGGGCTCATCTAGATGTAAAGTCTTATTTGTTCCTAAACCCCCAGAAAATCCTTCCTGCTGAGAACCTCTGGGGAATGCCTGACCCCTGAAATGCAGCCAAGGTCAGTGGCTTCTAGGAGAATTTGCTGCAGTCTTGGGTCCCTTGCTGTTTCGGTGACTCTTTATGTACACAATCAATGCTCTTTTTGTAAGCCCTGGGTTCAGTGTATTAAAACCAGATCCTGTCTGGAGAGGCCTTTATCCCTTCTCACTTTGGGGACTTATTGTTCTCAGCCAGTGATCCCAAACTGGACCCAGTCTAAATTTTCTCCAAATAGTAACAATGCATACTGTAAACCAGAGTTATGGGTGACAGCATGATCATTTAAATTATGCAAGATTTGCATGGTTTTAAATGAATGCAGTCTAATTAAGTCCTGATTTCTAGAGCTCATACAGATAAGCAAAGTCTCAGCAAATGGGGAATGGTTTTATAGATTTAGATCTGGAGGGGAATCTTGAAGAGCTCAACCTATCTTTTCATTTAGCACATAATGGAGCCCAGAGATGTGAAGCCCCTTGCCCAAGGTCACAGAGCCTTTGGGAAGGGGTAAGAAAGGAGGACATTTGGGAAGAGAATCTAAGTTTCCTGACTCCTCATTCAGTGCTCATTTCTCCCTGTCACATTTTCTGTGGTGGAATCAGAAATCAATAATGCATTTTCTGCCTGAACACAAAAAGCAGCAGAGAGGAACAATTTCACCAGGGTTATGGGATTTTATTTATTGAGAAATAGAGAAACTGCTAAGGTACCTTTGGAATTCATTTTCTAGTCCCTCTTCAGTTCTTCTTCTCCAGGCAAATGACTATCTGGATCATTTAGAACAGATGGGTGTCCTGCATGGGTAACATCGCTCAGTAACCTATCTCCAAGGGGTCAATTGGACATGCATATTTTTTTATGTCCCTGCATGTGAGGTTTATAGAGTTCTATGCATGTTTTCTATCATCAATGTGGATAGATGTATGTAGTATTATGAAAATAAACTTTAGCCTTATGTGTGTATGAAAATGTGTGTGTTTATACATATATATACACTGTATGATGAACACTCGACCACAAGGTTGATTTAAACTGCCAGGTTGGTGGTTCAAATTCTGCAGCTGCTCCTATACAGGGTCTCTGTGAGTTGGAACTGACTCAATGGCACTTAACAATAACATATAGGCTGCTGCTGCTGCTGTGTCCCATGGAGTCGTTTCCGACTCATAACCATCCTTTGTACAGTTTCTGAGGCTATAAATCTTTATAGGAGCATAAAGCCTCATCTTTCTCCCTTGGAATGGCTGGTGGATTCAAATTGTTGAACTTGCTGTTAGCAACCCCATGCATAACTGACTATGCTACAAATATATTGTTGTTAAGTGCCGCCGAGTCAGTTCCAACTTGTAGTGACCTTCTATAGAGTTCTGAGAATTGTCTAGTGGGTTTGAACCCTTGACCTTACAGTCCAGCAGTTATCCTATAATGATACTCCATATAGGTTACAGAAAACAATTTACTCATTCAAACTCTGAGCTTGAGTCATTCTAGCTTTAAGACATTAGGAGTAATAATTGCCACCAGTATGCTTTATTACATGTGACGTGACCTCAGCCAAGAATTGTTTTAGAGATTAGCAAAATTCTGAACCTGAGCCTGTTGGCCCACAGCATAAGGCATTCAGGGCCATGATTTGGCCTCTGTTGACCTCATACTCTCAACAACTGCCAGGACATACACACTTTCCAAATTGCACAGAATTGGATGGTCTGTGATGTCTTTCTACCTGGCCTTCACTCCCATCTGGGCCAAGTTAATTCTTTCTTCACTGAAACCCAGATTTAAGAAGTGATGTAATCTCCAAATTTTGTGTGCATTCCTGTCTGCTACCCTTCTATAGAGTCCCGGTGCAGTGCTGTGGGATAAAGCACTGGACCGCAAAAACAGTTTGAGCCACAGGTTGATGGTTCAAACACACCAGTGGCTTCTTGGAAATCCTATGCAAGATAGTGATGAATCGGAATAGACTTGACAGCACTAAACAACACAACAACAACACTTTTGCTGCTAGTGTTATAATTGTGTGGGTTTTCTTTCTGTCTGCTTAATAAACCGTAAGCTCCTGGAGGGTAGGGGCTTGGCCTTAGTCATCTTTGAGTCCATAGGCCTTGTTAGTAGAATGAATTAATCAGTGAATGAATGAGTAAATGCAGTGGAATGAGCCTTGGCTCCTGGATTCTGTGCCCACAATTTATGAGTCTGTGACTTTGAGGAAGCATTGAACCTTAGTTTCCTTAAAAACGGGAATGGTAATAACAGCTTGCCTTACTCAAAGGCTGGTTTCAAAGATAAAATAAAAAAATATGGCAATACTTTGAAAACTGTAAATCATTATACATATGTTATTACATGATAAAATGGGAATTTTATGGGAAACTTGATTCCACCAACATTTGATCCTAGTGGTCACCAAAAATAAAATGATCTGTTAAAAATATATCAGAAGGTTCTGCCTTTTTTAAAATGGCACCTAAAGAGTTCAACAACAACAGCAGCCGAAAACCATTCATAATGACTGCTGGTGGCTCATTAGGTTAAGCTTTGGGCTGCTAACTATAAGGTTAGGAGTTCAAACCCACCAGCCTTTCCAAGGGAGAAAGGTGAGGTTGTTTGCTCCTGTA